GATTTTCGTGGATTTAGGCAAGTCCTTCGTGGAATTAGGCAAGTCCTTCGTGGACTTAGGCAAGTCCTTTGTGGATTTAGGCAAGTTCTTCGTGGATTTAGGCAGTCCTTCGTGGATTTAGGCAAGTCCTTCGTGGATTTAGGCAAGCACGAATAATTTTGTTTTTACTTTCCATTTTCGTAATGTTCTGGGATTCTTTGGGCGGGTGGGTTTGGTTCCGTTGCCTGCACACACTGCTGGCCAAGCAAATGCTCGAACTTGAGATGCTGAACCCTAAACCCTAAACCCTGCACCCTAAACCCTAGACCCTAAACCCTAAACCCTAAATCCTACACCCTAAACCCTAAACCCTAGACCCTAGACCCTAAACCCTAGACCCTAAACCCTAAACCCTAAACCCTAAACCCTAAACCCTAAACCCTAAACCCTAACACCTAAACCCTAAACCCTAAACCCTAAACCCTAAACCCTAAACCCTAAACCCTAAACCCTAAACCCTAAACCCTAAACCCTAAACCCTAAACCCTAAACCCTAAACCCTAAACCCTAAACCCTAAACCCTAAACCCTAAACCCTACCTTACTCTGAAAATGAGGTCCCAGGAGCTCCACCCTTTGGGCGATCCAGCTCACGGCATGGGCCTCTGGCAGCCACGTCTCCGTGAACTTGGCGCCTTTTCCATAGAGTTCTTTAGGGAGGCGGGTTTAGGGTTTAGGGTTTAGGGTTTAGGGTTTAGGGTTTAGGGTTTAGGGTTTAGGGTTTAGGGTTTAGGGTTTACGGCTTAGGGCTTAGGGCTTAGGGCTTAGGGCTTAGGGTCTAGGGTTTAGGTCGGGTTTAGGGTTCTGGCTGAAGAATGAGGATGCCGCCAGTGTTTTCTGTGAGCCGAAGCGCCTGCCCAGCCAAGGTCTCGGCCTTCTTCGGCCGCTGTGGCCTCCGGGAGAGGGCGGCCGGATTCAAACTGCGAAAGGGCTGAGGGTTAATATAGGGGCCTTCATAATTGGAATAGGGCTTTTGGGGGTCCCCTATAGTAGGGCTTTGGGCTAAAGGGTAAGTGCTGCTCATGAACCAAGCAAGGACTTTGGATTCGAAGCTTTGGGATTTGGGGGCAGCGGCCAGCGCCTGCTGTTGGTGTTTGAGACTTGTGCGGTTTAGGGTTTAGGGTTTAGGGTTTAGGGTTTAGGGTTTAGGGTTTAGGGTTTAGGGTTTAGAGTTTAGGGTTGAGGGGTGAGGGGTGAGGGGTGAGGGGTGAGGGTTTAGGGTTTAGGGTTTAAGGTTTAGGGTTTAGGGTTTAGGTTTTGGGTTTAGGGTTTAGGGTTTAGGGTTTAGGGTTTAGGGTTTAGGGTTTAGGGTTTAGGGTTTAGGGTTTAGGGTTTAGGGTTTAGGGTTTAGGGTTTAGGGTTTAGGGTTTAGGGTTTAGGGAGGGAGGGGCGCGCGAGGGAGCTATGGAAAGGGGGAGCCACAAAATCCACCCCTCCCCAGCGTGCCCATCACACTGTCAGGCACAGGGAAGGCGAATCGGAAAAGGTGATGAGGGTGGTTGGGGTTTTGGGGGCTTATGCTGCCCTGATGTCAAACTAGGTTCTCAAGGCAACGGCTTGCCCCGACTTGCACGTCCGGAACGAAACATAAAACCATCACCAAGAACTAACTGTCGCTAGCTGCAGTTTTTTCAGGGTCGATGATGCTCACCCTTCGGACCCTGCGAGCATCATGGACCCCTGACCGTCAGAATTGCAAGGTGCAAACGGGGACAACCCCCCAATGACGCGTGTGATGCTCAAGTAGAGCTTAGACCCTAAACCCTTAACCCTTAACCCTAAACCCTAAACCCTAAACCCTGCACCCTAAACCCTAAACCCTAAACCCACCAAAGGGTCGAAAGGCGAGGTGCCAAGCACTGGTCCAGCACCATTGCCGACTCCAGCGCAGCATTGATGCCCTGCCCAACCTGGCAAGCTCATCAGGCTTACGCTCACGGCATTAGGGTGTAGGGTTTAGGGTTTAGGGTGTAGGGGGTAGGGTTTAGGGTTTAGGGTTTAGGGTTTAGGGTTTAGGGTTTAGGGCTTAGGGTTTAGGGTTTAGGGCTTAGAGTTAGGGTTTAGGGTTTAGGGTTTAGGGTTTAGGGTTTAGGGTTTAGGGTTTAGGGTTTAGGGTTTAGGGTTTAGGGTTTAGGGTTTAGGTTTTAGGGTTTAGGGTTTAGGGTTTAGGGTTTAGGGTTTAGGGTTTAGGGTTTAGGTTAGGGTTTAGGGTTTAGGGTTTAGGGTTTAGGGTTTAGGGTTTAGGGTTTAGGGTTTAGGGTTTAGGGTTTAGGGTTTAGGGTTTAGGGTTTAGGGTTTAGGGTTTAGGGTTTAGGGTTTAGGGTTTAGGGTTTAGGGAGCTTGCAAGCCACAACCTCTGTCCGAAAAGCAACCGTGCAGCGAAGACTACGCCGGAGTCACAGGGGGAAACGGGTTGCCGGCATCGCCAAGCAGGACCAGGCGCCCTGCACCGCTTGCGTGGGGGGAAGGGGGGTGTTTAGGGTTTCGGGTTTAGGGTTAGGGTTTAGGTTTTAGGGTTTAGGGTTTAGGGTTTAGGGTTTAGGGTTTAGGGTTCAGGGTTTAGGGTTTAGGGTTTAGGGTTTAGGGTTTAAGGGTTTAAGGGTTTAAGGGTTTAAGGGTTTAAGGGTTTAAGGGTTTAAGGGTTTAAGGGTTTAAGGTTTTTAAGGGTTTAAGGGTTTTTAAGGGTTTAAGGGTTTAAGGGTTTAAGGGTTTAAGGGTTTAGGGTTTAGGTTAGGGTTTAGGGTTTAGGGTTAAGGGGTTTTAGGGGTTAGGGTTTAGGGTTTAGGGTCTAGGGTTTAGGGTTTAGGGAGTGAGGCAGTCGAGTTCAGAAACCTTCAACTTCTGCTTGAAGTGCGTCGACCTGTAGGGTCCTCGATTAGTCTCTAGACGCTCTGGCCTGCGTTGAAGGTGTTGCAAAGCACGGCCCGTCCGATGTGGGTGCAATCCCGCCGGGCGAAGGCAGCCAGCTCCTTGTCTGAAACATGTCCTTGGCTCTCGGAAGGGTGAGAACTGGAAGTTAGCGGCGTGTTAGGGCTTGGCGGGCGCATGAACAAAGTCCAGGGTCGCAATGCTTTAGGAGCAACTCCCTTGATGTATGCAGTGGCTTGCGAGACATCCTGGAATGTATTGGCACGGTTGAAGCCGATTTGGCAGAACCTGGGCAGGCCAGCAGGCCATGGGATCGGAGACTAGCGAGTGACCGGGGCCTCAGGTGATCCTCGACTACGACTACTTGCATAAGAACCCCCAAAAAAGTAAAAAATAAAACTAATCCCTATATCACCCTGATATGGAAGAATGTTGTTTTTTTTTTTTTTTTGGGGGGGGGGGGGGGTTCTTAAGCACTTGGTAGACTAAGCACCCGGCCATTTCGGGTCACTGGGGCCCTTGTCGCCATTGATCGCGCCAGCGACCACCGGGGGATCGATGTTGAAGACGTACAACCAGGAGGGGTCCAGCTCCTCCGTGTTCTGGTCAAAGTGGATCATCGTACAAAAATTCGTCAGAGATGCCTTCTCGAACGTGAAGCCTGGGACATCGGCCATGGCCTTGCGTGCAAGGCTCCCGGCGCCGTCACAGGCGACCACGAGGTCGAAGCTCTTCGTGGCGACCTTTCCGCTGCCGTCCTTGAGACCCACCGTGCCCCTGTAGACGTCCAGCACCTCCGCCTGTACCCCGAACTCGAACTTGACCTGTCCTTGAGGGCTTGCGGAGGCTCATTTCGTGTACAAAGCTCACACCGAATCCAATCTGAATCCATCCCATCCGAACCTCAAAGCTGCATCACAACCGAGAGAGCCCAGGCCGAGCCGAGTTGCCCGGATACTTCTCCTTGCATTCGCGCATCAGCGCCCGGCAGATGTCCCCCCGGGATCCGGTCCAGCCTGGGCCCGTCCACGGCTCGTCCTTCTTCAAGGGCAGGACGCGGATCCCCTTGAACCTCGGGAGCTGGTCGAGTCGAGGGCTTGTATGGGAGGGTTTAGGGTTTCGGGATTAGGGTTTAGGGTTTAGGGTTTAGGGTTTGGGGTTCTGGGGTTTAGAGTTTCGGGCTTAGGGCTTAGGGCTTAGGGCTTAGGGCTTAGGGTTTAGGGTTTAGGGTTTAGGGTTTAGGGTTTAGGGTTTAGGGTTTAGGGTTTAGGGTTTAGGGTTTAGGGTTTAGGGTTTAGGGTTTAGGGTTGCACCTGCAAGGGAAGGGGGAGGATAGACCGACCCTATAGCAGAGCAGCTTGATGAGTTGCTCCTCAAATCGCCCGGTGGCTCCGAAGTACTCCAGCGCCCGCACCCCATGGCCGGTGATGTCGATGGTGTAGCTCCGGTCCGGATTATACCGGGGTGCCGTTTCATGGTCCTCTGCCTGGGGGGGGGGGGGGGGAGCAAGATTGCCAGAAAATGCGCTTCCCCTCACCCTCCCTACCCCGTCATCCCTGCAGAAGAAGACAAAACGCAAACAAACACACACACACGCACGCACACACACACACACACACACACACACACACACACACACACACACACACACACACACACACACACACACACACACACACACACACACCACACACACACACACACACACACACACACACACACACACACACACACACACACACACACACACACACACACACACACACACACACACACACACGCTCACGAGTGGACAACGAGTGGACAGAACGACAAAAAAAAGGTCGTGAGAGGTGCCGGCCTGGTCATAAACGACCACTTCGCTGAAGCGTCGCGCGACACCCAGGGCGAGCCCCAGCCCGGCAGGTCCCGCACCAATAATGCAGATACTCGTGGCCATCGCGGGGGGCTTGTCAGGGCTACTGACTCCTTGAGGTCCTTGTAAGGCCGTGGCATGTCGGAGCTTACCATCACAACGGCTTGAAGGAAGAACAAAATGCGGTGGGCCTGGGGTGACCGGTGAACACCACTACTCTGAACTCGCAGTCACCGAACCTCAACGTCCACCACCTCTGCACTGGAGCTCTTCTTGGAACCAGTCCTGGCGCAAGAGGATGTGGGGTTCAGGTTTAGGGAGCCTGAATTCAGCCAGAGCGGAGTCTTTTGCAAGAGAGACCTTGCGCCAGGCAGGATTCGCCTGCTTTTTCTGCAGCTCGCCTCCAAAAGAACGCTTGTTTGGGCGGGGCGTGCCTTCCTCACTTTAAGGCCATCCAGAACAGAGCCCGAAGCCAAATGCGCCAACCCATCATCAACAGTCATCTAAGCCCTCAACCCCTCAAGCCTAAATCCTCAACCCCTCAACCCTAAATCCTCAAAGAGTGCACCAGAAGTCCCTTATACCCCTCTTCTAGCCCTTCTACCACCCCCCTTAATCTCCTTAAACCCGCCCCCCCCCCCCCCCCTGCCCCCCTCGAAGCGGCCTCGAAGCCTTGGGGGCTGAGGGCTTCGGTGGAGGCTTCGTCTCCGCAGCCTCAGGAAACCCGGGCTCCCAACTCTGGTTCAGGAAAGTGACGATGGTAGTTTTTGTTCCAAGGGCTTAGGGGTTTAGGATTTAGGGTTTGGGGTTTGGGGTTTAGGGTTTAGGGTTTAGGGTTTCTAAGCTTGAGGGTGTATCTAGAATCGTTTTTCTCAAAGCTTGCACAGGGCCTGGTGGGATCGCGTGAACGGGTCTGCGTGTGGGATCTTAAGGCTGCGTCCTGGAGGAAAAAGGAAACCTTCCGCCCCTTAGCAGCGCCAACAACGACAAATCGGCGGTGCCCCCCGAAAGCCCTAAAGCCTAAACCCTAAACCCTAAACCCTAAACCCTAAACCCTAAACCCTAAACCCTAAACCCTAAACCCTAAACCCTAAACCCTAAACCCTAAACCCTAACCCTAAACCCTAAACCCTAAACCCTAAACCCTAAACCCCAAACCCTAAACCCTAAACCCTAAACCCTAAACCTCGCCTGCTTGGCAAAGTCCCGCATCTTCTCGAAGGGTGTCTGGGGCGCCTGTCCGCTCTTCCTATACCTGGCATACAGGAACTCTGGGGCTCCAGGTTTAGGGTTTAGGGCTTAGGGCTTAGGGTTGAGGGTTTAGGGTTTAGGGTTTAGGATTTAGGGTTTAGGGTTTAGGGTTTAGGGTTTAGGGTTTAGGGTTTAGGGTTTGGGTGTAGGGTTGGGTTTAGGGTTTAGGGTTTAGGGTTTAGGGTTTGGGTTTAGGGTTTAGGGTTTAGGGTTGAGGGTTGAGGGTTGAGGGTTGAGGGTTGAGGGTTGAGGGTTGAGGGTTGAGGGTTGAGGGTTGAGGGTTGAGGGTTGAGGGTCGAGGGTCGAGGGTTGAGGGTTTAGGGCATACCGCCTTTCAACACGCGGGGGCTGACGCCTCGAACTGCTTAGACTGCATCGGGCTACGCGTTGGGAGGGAGGCGGGGTTTCCACGACACCTCACGTGACAGGGCTTCAGCACATAAAAAGACCGAACCCAGGGCAGTCTAGGGTCCTGCTTTATTCGGGTTTAGGGTTTAGGGTTTAGGGTTTCGGGTTTCGGGTTTAGGGTTTAGGGTTTTCAGGGTTCAGGGTTCAGGGTTCAGGGTTGACAAACCATCTCCCCATCTCTTCCAGCCGTGGCCGGCAAACTCTGCCCGGCGCCACTGCACGAATTGCCCATCTTTCACCTCGAGCTCCTTGCGGCTTTGAGCAGGGTTTAGGGTTGAGGGTTGAGGGTTGAGGGTTTAGGGTTTAGGGTTTAGGGTTTAGGGTTTAGGGGCCCGTCAACACGAAGTTCAAGGGGACCATGAAGCTAGACGATTCCGAGAGCTTTCGAAGTTGCCGAAGCACCTTCGGTTTGCAAGAGCTGGGCGTTCCGGGGCTTCCCATAAGCTTCGAGCTTCACTCTCTGCTTGGGGTGGTTGAGGGAAAAACTCCGATCTCCAAAAGCGACTCCACAGTTAAAGCCTCGAGTCAGAAACACCCTCTCCTCGACCCTCCCCAAAACCAGCCAAAGAACCTCTCAAAAACCCCGATGCCCCAAGAGCCTCTTGAGTGAAACCTCTGCAGCGTTCCCTGCATGCTGGGTTCCCCGGACCAAGCCGCACATCCCGCAGTTGAAGGGCTCGGTCTTGCTACCTGCTCAACAGTGGTGGCATTAGCCTCTTGCATTCGTACGATTCGTATTCTGAGCATTGTATCTTCATGACCAGCATTGCTTATTTCAGCATTGTTTGTCTTGTCCACCGGCCGTAGGTGTATGGGCCCCAGCATCAACCCCCCACCCCCCGACCCCCATCCCCCCTACCCCCCGCCTCGAACCACCTTTGCAACTTTTGTTAATCTTCTCGCAATTTCTCGCATTACCTTGACCGCATGTCGGGCAAACCCCTCCTTGCTCGCGCCCGCCCTAGCGCGTACTCTCTGCCCTTCTCCCCCCTTATTCCATGTTTCACCCACTCCCCCTCCACTACCCTCCAAACATCCTGGACAAGGCGACCCGTGGCCACGAGGGTTGCGTAGAGTCAAAATTGGTATTGATGCCATACGCAGCAGTTCGACCGCGCTTGGCATTTGGGACCTTTCTTCTCGGGCGCGTGGTCTCGCTGTGCTTTGCTCTGTGACTTCAAGCGCCCGGCTCAAGATGTTATCGCTAATGTCAACGCCGCGCTGCCCCCGAAAGTCTTAAACCCTAAATCCTAAAACCCTAAAGCCTAAACCCTAAACCCTAAACCCTAAACCCTAAACTGGAAGAACAACGCGAAGCAGGGAGCCAAAAACCTTCAAGCCCATCAAGAGACCAAGCCCGATGGCACGGTACGCCCAGATCAGCCGACTTAGCACGTCACCCCATGAAGCGGCTTTTTCCCAACGTTGTCCAAAGCAAAACTGCGCAGTGGTCGCACTTGGGCTTTTTCTGCAAGTGCAAGAATCCGCGCACAAGTCTTGGCCCAAGAGGGAACTTGAAACCTCGAACAACTCCAACTGCTCTGCCTCTCTGCAGGACGCCGCAACCTTGCCAAGGAGAAAGGTGTGTTCTTGGAGTCACTGAAACAGTGCAAAGGCCCTGGCACTCTGGGGGGCTATATATTTATGGGAGAGAAATAATACTCCCCCCCCCCATTCTCTCGTTTTCCGGAATACGGGCACCCACGCGCCTGAACCCTAAACCCTAAACCCAAACCCTAACCCCTAAACCCTAAACCCTACACCGGCCCAGGCCTGGACATTGCCCTTCCGTCGTCGTTGCCTCAAAGTACCATTGAAGGCCTGGGCTTCGCAGAGATCGCTTTTTTGTTGGAAAGAAGAGCCCTCCATCATGTTTCCCTCGACTCAGGGTTTAGGGTTTGGGGATTAGGGTTGCGGGGTTTCGGGTTTCGGGGTTTCGGGGTTTCGGGGTTTCGGGGTTTCGGGCTTTCGGGGTTTCGGGGTTTAGGGTTTAGGGTTTAGGGTTTAGGGTTTAAGGAACCCTAACCCCGAAACCCTGAAAAAAAAGCACAGAACCACTTACCTTCCACAAGATTCGCGAGGATGCTTTGAAACCGCCTCGGGGTACGCGAGTTGACCACTGCTTGGCGCATGCGAGGGCCCGGCCGAAGATCCCGGCGATGGCCAGCAAAAAGATCCCAAACTGATATTCAGGGAGACATCTAAGAACCACGCAAAAACATTTTAAAAAAAGAAAGTACTTCAGGAGTGTTGAGGGGAAGGCTGGGTTTAGGGTTTAGGGTTAAGGGCTTGGGGTTTAGGGTCTAGGGTCTGGGGTCTAGGGTCTAGGGTTTAGGGTTGAGGGTTTAGGGTTTAAGGTTTAGGGTTTAGGGTTTAGGGTTTGAAGAACAGGGTGGGGGAGATCAACACAACAACCAGGAGCGCATCGTCGATCCATGTCTCCACACCTCCTGAAACCTCTGAAAGACACCCCAAGCACATGCCCACTGCACCCGTGGGCGACCTGAATTCCGGGGGAGCTGCACCCCCTAAGCCCAAAAAAATCGAGCGCTCAGGGTGAGCGGTCCAAACCCTTAACCCTCAACACAGACTCGAGCCGAACTCTTGGACCCTAAGCCCTAAACCCGAAACCCTAAACCCTAAACCGCCCCCCTCTGCCTTGAACATGTAGAACAAGTTGATCAGGCTGATGATCGGACTCAGGATGACCTGCGCACAGGCGAAGGCTTTTGGGGGGGGAGGGGGGGGGGAGGGGGGGGGGGGGGGGGGGGGGGGGGGAGGGGGGGGGGGGGGGGGGGGGGGGGGGGTGGGAGTCCATCGACCCCTAAATATCCTCAATGCCCTAAATACCCTACATGCCCTACAAAATGCCCTACAAAATGCCCTGCAAAATGCCATAAATGCCCTAATTGCGCGAAATTCCCTATGTACCCCACCCCCAAGTACCCTAAGTACCCTGAACCCCGCATTGGGCGAAACCCGGTTTTCTGGAAGTATCCATCTCACTCCGGGAGTTTGAAAGGTTGCCACGAAGGCTTCGGAGGTTTAGGGTTTAGGGTTTAGGGTCTAAAGTTTAGGGTTTAGGGTTTAGGGTTCAGGGTTTAGGGCTTAGGGTTGTACGTTTGTGCGCATGGTGCCCTTCCTTCTTTTGGCTCTCCGCCGACGTGGCTTCCCAAAGTGACGGGCATGGATTATGCACAGTAGCTTCCCAGCATTTGAGCAAGTTGCATCGCACCGGACGCAACTAGCTGACAAACCAGAGGCTAAACCCTAAACCCTAAACCCTAAACCCTAAACCCTGATTACAGTACCCATGCACCTTCAAACATCCAAACGAATCTAAACTCTGTCAGTTGCAGCACCGACCTTCAAAATATCTCAACACCTCAAAGCAAAATCCAAGCAGATCAGACAAAGACCCGAGCTGAAGATGCCACCCTTCTTCCTTTACCCTAAACCCTAAACCCTAAACCATAAACCCTAAACCTTAAACCCTAAACCTAAACCCTAAACGCTAAACCCTAATCCCTAAACACGAAGCACCGGATCAAAGGGGAGCTGCAATGCACAGGAATATGGACATTCAAAGGGCCCGGACTGCACCCAATCAGCACAGCCGAGCAGCACCTGAAGCCTCGGGGGCAGCCTCAAGGGCTTGTGGAACTGGGGCCGCGCTGGGTTTGGGGTTTGGGGTTTTGGGTTTAGGGTTTAGGGTTTAGGGTTTAGGGTTTAGGGTTTAGGGTTTAGGGTTTAGGGTTTAGGGTTTAGGGTTTAGGGTTTAGGGTTTAGGGTTTAGGGTTTAGGGTTTAGGGTTTAAGGTCTAAAGTTTAGGGTTTAGGGTTTTAATTCAGGGTTCAGGGTTCAGGGTTCAGGGTTTAGGGTTGAGGGTTGAGGGTTGAGGGTTGAGGGTTGAGGGTTGAGGGTTGAGGGTTGAGGGTTGAGGGTTGAGGGTTGAGGGTTTAGGGTTTAGGGTTTAGGGTTTAGGGTTTAGGGTTTGCCCCATGGAACGGTCCCAGGAGGCACTTGGAAGACATCTACCGCACTGGAGGTCGGCTCTCTGTGCGCCAACAGCCTCGCCCCTGTGCGACCTGTCCAACCTGTCCTGATCTGGGGGGTTTACGACAAAAGGGGACCCTCGCATAGACCCTAAACCCTAAACCCTAAACCCCAAACCCTAAACCCTAAACCCGAAACCCCAAAATAGTGGGTTTAGGGTTCAGGGTTTAGGGTAATCGAGAACGCAGACAAGCTTCGGTTGTGGATTGCATCTTGGTGCCATGCGGTTATAGCTCTCCCCGGAAGATCCGATACAACTACGGCCAAGCTCGAGCATTGACTAGGTCGCAGGGGCGTGAAACGGGCTCCCTCCAGTGGCGTTTCTCCTGGCCGTTGAACTCAGATCCTTGGTATGTTGAGATTGGACCATACGTGCTTCTCTTTCAACAAAGGCTGTAGCTGGTTGGGCAGCTTAAGCCATATGAACACATGATAGAGACTTGGGGGGGGGGGGTTGCCTTTGGGAGTTTTGGTGAGTCTTACGCGCCCGGTCTTATGCCAAGTGCAAGCATGTTCAGGCAACCTGCTTGTCGAACTTGAAGCCTACTCTCGGGGAGATGCGAACATCTCTGGTAGCGGCCCGACACACAAGCTGCTACAGAGCAACGAGTAGCACCGGTGAAAAGTACATAATCTATGTGGCCGTGCTGCGCGATCTCGGTGGAATCCATTGCGAGAGACATCTTCTTGTTCGGGGCCTGCGAGCAGGATGAACCGCCATAGATTCACGGTGCAGCGGTCAACAGGGGCGCCGCAAAACGTCCACTTCAGAGTGCGACAAACGCTTGTTTCCGAACCTTAAGGTTAAGGTCGGGGAATTGGTACGCACACCGTTGGGTTGGCATTGCCCATTGCATGCCATGTGATGTCCCACTCATGCGCAAGCCCACATTCTGCATGCCCTTCTCAGGGCCGCAGGATCATCTGCTTTGTGATCACTTCTTGTGAGAAACAGGCTGATACAAACCAACTCTCGGAGTGCGGCAAAGTTGTGCTCCGACTCTGGAAACGCGAGCGCAGCTCCGTATCGGTGTATCTTGCAAGCGCACCCGAATAGGAACCACATATATATATATATATATATATGTATATATATATATGCAAATTTAGAAAAAGAAGAAAAACAACAAACAAACAAACAAACAAACAAACAAACAAACAAACAAACAAGCAAACAAGCAAGCGAACAAACATGTTTTGCATTTTATATATATATATATATATATATATATGTATATGTATATGTATATGTATATGTATATGTATATGTATATGTATATGTATATGTGTATGTATGTAGAATGTAGAGAATATTATGTCTATGTATATATATTTATACATGTATATATATATATATACCCTAAACCCCCTTCTGTTGCGTAGCAGCCGTACGGTAAGTCGAGGGAGGCCGTCGTGGAATGTGGCTCGATGCTTGCTGTACAAGCTCACGGGGTCAAGGTGGGTTTCCGTGCGTTCGCAAGGGTTCCAGGGAGCTAAAGACCCAAGGACCTATGCAGGGGCAAGGCCCCACTGTTTCACCAATCCTTGCGTGCACCAGCATCATGCAATCACCGCATCAGCAGACTTGCATGCACTGATGCCATTTTCCGCGGGGGCTGTAAGGCGAAGCATGATTCATCAAACATCAGAAGACGTTAGAAGCTGCGCGCAAACAAGTGGGTCGGAAACCACTTTTGCAATCCACCCCGTTGCGAGCCTCGGCATCGGGATACACGCAAATGCCCAAGAGGCTGGAAAGGTGGACACCTTGCGAAGGCTCTAACACAGGAGCCCAAGTAATTCCCAATGCTTTCCCCTCACACTCGTACTCGCCCTGTAGACTGCAAGGTTTTTCTCGTTGACGAGGCCGTAAAGGAGATACGGAACTCCCGAGAATGCCCCCGTACGGAGGGAGCAAGTTGTGGGTTTAGGGTTTGGGGTTTGGGGTTTAGGGTTTAGGGTTTAGGGTTTAGGGTTTAGGGTTTAGGGTTTAGGGTTTAGGGTTTAGGGTTTAGGGTTGAGGTTGCCAAGTGGCACTTGGAGCCCTCAGGACAGCCGCCAAGGATGCAGGCAAGGGCACCTGCACGCAAACAACAGTTGGGGGGGGGGGGGGGGGGGGGGGCTCCTCAACCCTCAACCCTATCAACCCTATCAACCCTATCAACCCTATCAACCCTATCAACCCTATAAACCCTATAAACCCTATCAACCCTACAAACCCTATAAACCCTATAAACCCCATAAACCCTATAAACCCTATAAACCCCATAAACCCTATCAACCCTATAAACCCTATAAACCCTATAAACCCTATCAACCCTATCAACCCTATAAACCCTATAAACCCTATAAACCAACCCTATAAACCCTATAAACCCTATAAACCCTATCAACCCTATCAACCCTAAACCCGAAACCCTAAACCCTAAACCCGAAACCCTAAACCCAATGAGGCTCAAGGTTGGCCTTTTTGTGGCAGAGACTTTGCAGGGCCTTCTGAGGGTTTGGGCGGGGAGGGGGGGGGGGGGGGTGTTTTAGGGTTTAGGGTTTAGGGTTTAGGGTTTAGGGTTTAGGGTTTAGGGTTTAGGGTTTAGGGTTTAGGGTTTAGGAAGTTTGGGGGTGGGGGGGTTCTGCGACGGCTTTCTGGGGTTTAGAAAACCCCCGTGACATCTTCCAGCGCACCCTCCTCTAGCACCAGAACCCTTTCGAAGTGAAAAAGGCTTAGGCGCCTGGAAGAACCCTAAACCCTAAACCCTACACCCTTAACCCTTAACCCTTAAACCCTAAACCCTAAACGCCTAGGAACCCCTAAGGCGCCGGGAGAGAGCATAAAGGCCATGCTCTTGCGGGCCAAGGCACAGTACTTGTCACCCGAGCTGCTGTCCTTCGGGCAAAGAACCGAGGCGCAGAAAATTGGGGGCAGGGTTTAGGGTTTAGGGTCTAGGGTTTAGGGTTTAGGGTTTGGGGTTTAGGGTTTAGGGTTTCGGGTTTCGGGTTTGGGGTTTGAGTTTAGGGTTTGCGGTCTAGGGTTTAGGGTTTAGGGTACAAGGTAGTTGTCGTTTTTTCAAAGCTTCGATACAAAGTACCACCCCGCCCCACCCCACCCCCCATATGTGCATCTAGATTTCTAGATTCTAATTCCTTAGTACTTCCTAAGAAAGCGTGTAAGTACGGAACCAACGACCTAGACCCAGAAATGCGGTTTCATTTTGGGATATCCATAGTTCAATTCGGGTCTCCATGGTGTCCATGGCGTCTCCCCTTTGTCACGCAACATCGGTGCTCGACTGCTGGCTTAAGGCAGCAACAAGTGGCTGGCGAGGTGAGGCGTGTAGTTTCAACCCGAAGCCCGAAACCCGAAACCCTAAACCCGAAACCCTAAACCCTAAACCCTAAACCCAATTTACTTAAACAAGGCTTCGAAGATGCTCAGGTGCCACACCAAAGCCCCGTCCCTGAACACAACTCCAAAAACCCATCTAAGTATCATGGGTTCCCTACTACCCCCTGCTACCCCCATGTCCCCCCATAATTAAGGCAATTTAGGGATAATTCAGCCTCATTAAGGCTATTTGAGGGGGAACCCAGGGGGGGGGGGTAGTTGATCCAAAGCGTCCGTGGAGGCCAAATGTTCAACTTACTTTAGCAAGGCT